TTTTCCCAAATACATTTCCATTTTGAGAAGATCTACTAATTTCAATAAAGTATCACCTATAGGCTGTAGTATTAACATAGGATGTTGCTTGTTTTCTATACAGATCAGGCACTTACTTCAGGCCACATAATTGTAATCCAATCCAATTCAGTCCTCCAGCAGCAGTCTGCTGGCTGAAAGAATGCTGCAAGAGGCCATGGAGGCTGAAAATGGGCCACAAGGGGGCACACATGCCTCCCCAATGGCCCATTTTGGCTGGCAGAGGCACCATGGGCCAGTTATTCTTTGGTCAGTGCTGAAGGCTGTCCTGATATTGTGTTTGTGGAGAATTTTGCTGATTTTGTAGGGGCCTCAAATCGTGCCTTTGAGGTAGGGGAGGAGTGCGATACCATTGTCTTGTTCTGTGTCTTGGTTTTTGGAGGGTATCTCTCTTCAGATTAGGTTGGTAATTGTGTTTCTTTGGAATCTGTTGGAAATTAATACGTTAGTGAGGATGTGTAGTTCTGTTCTCAGGTGGTCTTTGTCAGCTAGGTTTTTGGTTCTGGAGATGAGGGTCTTGGCTACGGAGTTGATCTGTGCAGCGTGGTGATGGGATTGTGCATTTAGGTAGCAGTTGGTGTGTGTTTTTTTCCGGTAGATGGTGTGTCCTCGGGAGCCATTGGTTTTTTTTGTAAATTAGGACGTCCAGGAAGGGGAGTTGGTTGTTGTTTTCTGTTTCCATGGTGAATTGTATTTTGGGGTGTAGGTTGTTAAGATGTGTGAGGAAGTTGTCCAGTTTTTCTTTCCCGTGTGGCCAAATAATGAAAGTGTCATCTACATATCTGAGCCAGAGTTTGTGTTTGTGTTCGGATTTGTCTAGAGCATTGGTTTCAAAGTGTTCCATGTATAGGTTAGTGATGGCGGGTGAGAGGGGTGATCCCATGGGTGCTCCTTCTATCTGTTTGTATCTTATTCACCGACAATCCAAGGACGGTTTACTGCCTCCAAGGATAGTTCTAACTTGAATCTGCAAATGAACAACCTAAAAGGAGAAGACACGGCTGTCTATTACTGTGCAAGAGACACAGTGAAATAGATCTCATGCAAAAACATTTTCTTTTACTACTGAAATGACTCAAAAGGGGACACCCAAGAACCACAAAATGAATTGTCTATGCATCTGGAACAGAATCACTCAGGCAGAGTAGGCATCAAATGAAAAGGCAAAACAAATATATCCCAAAATATATTATTACTCTATACTTAGTGTGGTTGAACTTATTGATTTCTAGCTAGTTGGTGTGGTTTCCTGCAGGTTCCTCTTCTTCCAGGGACAGAGGGCATCTCAAAATATATTCCATTCCCTCTTCAAGGATTCGTTTCAGAAAAAATCCTGGCATTTCTTCCACAGGAAGCCATATTTTTCAAACAAATGTTTTAATTTGTATCAAATTTCCTCTCCTGCTGTTTCCCCAAGTCAAGTTATATTTTGTGAATATATATTGGACATAACCAATATAAACTAAAGGCTGACAGCTTATATTATAATTATAATATTATAATTATTATAGTTCTCTTTCCTCAATGTTTAAAAAAATTGAAATAACAGAATCCCTAGAGTCTGATCCTTCTTTACTTGTCATCCTCCTTATACCCCAGTGAATAAGGAGGAGGGGCACTTTTCTGAATTGTTTCTGAATATTTGATGATAGATTCTGATCCTCGAAATATGTTTCAGTTCCCTTTTCCATGGTAACAGGTTTTGTGTAATTGAAAAAGCAGGAAATAAAGGTCAGGTAAGAGCCCAGGTGGGCAAAAAGATCAGCAGACATAGAACCGGTTCTATGTCTGCAGCTCTTCAGAGCTACCGGTTCTACAGAGGTGGACAGAACTGGTAGAAACCCACCCCTGATTCTATTCTATTCTATTCTATTCTATTCTATTCTATTCTATTCTATTCTATTCTATTCTATTCTATTCTATTCTATTCTATTCTATATTGGTTTTATTAGAAAGATATAGGAACAGCACCTTACAAGTCTTAATGCATTTTCCCCCACTCTCCTTTTATCTTTGAGAGAATGAGGGAGGTTTTCGTCTGAGATATTTTCTCAAGTGACACTTCAGAACCAGATTCATGTTTCTTTTATCTGACTGTTATCCTGATACTGGCTCTTCTTCCTGTCCCTCCAGACCATTTCGTTAAACCCTCTCCAGTTGGATTACTATAAAGTACTCTGCCTGGGACTGCCCTTTAAGTCTATTTCTAACCTGCACTGCTCCAGAATATAGAGGGATGGGCAGATAACAAATTTCTGATCTGTGAGTTGCACTGATTCCCACTTCAAAGTACTGGTTATCAGCTATACTAGCCCAGCCTATCATAGGACTGGTTTACTTGTTTTACTTCATTGTTTCTGTCTCTTAATGCCTGCTAAATCTGGCCATGCAGACCTGCTCCAGAATGGGATACCAATAGCACTTCAACTTATATATCACTTTACAGTGTTTTACAACTCTCTCTAAGTGGTTTACAGAGTCAGCATATTGTCCCCAAGAATCTGGGTCCTCATTTTACCTGATGAGATTTGAACTGCCAAATTGCAGACAGCTGGCAGTCAGCAGAAGAAGCCTGCAGTACTGCATTCTAACCACTGCACTACTATGGCTCATAAGAGTATATGATGGGACCAATCTATACAAGAAATAATCAAATCACTGTGGGTGGGACATTTACTTGATTTATTTTAGTGAAAAGGCTAACACTAGGCATACAAATAGAAGTGATCTATTTAAGAATGCATCACAAATATTGGGGATATTGAGTTTTGTTATTAATAACTTCACTTATTTGGGAATGTTTCTTATGATATACCCTCAAATCACACCCCCAAAGCATTAAGGGTTGGTATTATTGCTCCATATTATTTCTACTTTTTCTCTTCCCAAAATTAGGCAAAACATAACACTAATTCCTAGTGATATGTCTAAAATTTCATCAGGGACTTCATTCAGAAGTGAGATTACAATTTCTTTCTATCTGAGTTTATCAAAAGGAACAGAAAGACCTCCATGAGCCAACCTTGTAGCAAAGCTAGGTTTTAAGACTGAATTTATTTCTCACCACTCAATATAGGAAGGAATTCATACAAAATGTATGCAATGCTGATGCTTTGCTTCAAAATAAGCCCATCCACTATGAGATCATCATTTCCTTTCAAAGACCTCACTCGGGCAACCTAAATGGCTGTCATGGCATCATGATTCTTTGCATTTTACCTTGCAGCCTTCCCAAGATATAAGAAAATTTATTGGAAAATTAAGAGATCTATATTTGGTCAGTTATGTTGTTTGTTCATTGCAATCCTTTCTTTTCCCCCCCAAGGGATTTTCTCAGACTTTCAGCTTGTAGAATCTGGGCCAGGAATGGCAAGGCCTGGAAGTCAACTCAACCTAGTTTGTAAAGTCACGGGTTTTTTCCATTGCTACTTCTTCATCTTTTGCTTGGAATTGGATCAAGCAACCACCAGGGAAAGGCATTGAATGGCTTTCAGCCATAAATGCCAACGGTGGAGGAAAATGGTTAGCCAATTCAGTAAAAGGCCATGCCACCATTTCTGCAGATCACTCCAGGAATGAGTTCTCCCTCTGGCTGAGTTCTGACACAGCTGCAGACTCATCTGTATATATCTGTGCCAGACAACATCGATTTGGACTCTGTACAAAAAGCAGATGGGACAGGGGAGGGGAAGAGAGACACAGACAGAGAGAGACACCACAGAGAGAGAGAGAGACAGACAGAGAGACAGAGAGAGACAGAGACAGAGACAGACAGACACAGAGAGAAACAGAGACAGGCAGACAGAAAGAGAGAGAGAGAGAAGAGAGAGATGGATTGTATAGATTTACTTGAAAAGATCACTCACAAAACAATATAAAGGTAACTGAATTTAGAAATGGGGTAAATTTTATCAAATCAATTTTGACAGAGTTTTAATAGAGAGAAAGCAGAAGTCTGGTAAAGATAGAGACATCTGATTTTATTTCCAAGTATAAGTGCTGCTCCAAATACGAAAGAGTTACAGAACTCCATTACCATTAGCACTTTTATTTTATATTTGTTTTGCAGTCAAGGGAAATAGGAAGTGGTTTAGCCTGGAAAACTGTCTTCCTTCCTCTGTCTTCTGAAAAAGCAGAGGACACTGAACAGATATTACTAGGAATTGGACAAAGCCTCTAGGATCCTCATTCCAAAGTGATTAGGAAGTCTTTGTAACATATATTGGTCCATGATATTTCCTGGAAGCTACAACCTTGTTCAACTTTGTTCCAACCAAGAGATTTAATGAGGAGGGAGTATTATTGGCTTTTTCAAAAATACATATCTTAAATACTTTTGTTATTTTATCATACAAAAGTAAGTAAGCTTTAAAATCACCCCATTTCGCCTCCCTATCAAAATGTATCTTGGAATTCCACTGAAAGGACTGCTTTAACTTCCCCACTTTTGCCAAAATAATTAAATGGATGTATCTATGGAGTCACCAGGAATTGAGTTTACCTTCTGATATAATAGATGTAAATATGTGTAACATCATGGAAACCCAAAGGAGCTCGTTTTGGAAAGGCTTCATGATTTTTTTTAAAGATTAAAAGTAACTTTCCCACTGTTTTAAAAATTTGTAGGTAGTTTCAGAAATATATAGATAAATAGATACAACCCAGCTTTGAACATTCTTGTGTGACAAGTGCACTTAGGGTTGTTTCCAGTCAAATGGTGCTACTAGGTAGCAATGACTTACTACCAAGATTAAAGTACCAGCTGTGGTCATAAATCAAAGATTGCTTCCATCCAGTTATACTCCATCATCTTTGTTTTTAAAAAATACTCTCTACTAAATTTTAGTGCACTCATGGATTTCATCACATATTTATATATGTCCCAGCAGAATTTATGCAAAGTCAACAGGACTTTTACATCCTATTTAAACTCTTAGTTGTCTTCTTTAGGCTCATCTTGAAACTCATCCCTCCAAACTTCTTCATAATGACACCCCACTTCTTAATTATCACTATGCTGGCCACCTTCTCCAAAGGTCTGTAATTTGTTCTATACTAAGCTTTTTCTAGCACTTAAGGAAATTTCATATATTAACTATGGCTCTTCCTTTCTAACTGTTAAGTATGGAGAATAACGGAGACCAGACATCTGACCAGTGACTT